ATGAATGTTTTGTTAAACTGATTGAAAATTAGAACAGTTTAATGTTATATAGTTACATTAGTCACCATGTACTTTCAAAATCAGCTTCAAAGTGATTAAATCCTAAGAAAATAGTAAAGCCTCACTGCTGTGAAATCTAGCCTTATGTTTTAGAACTTCAGGTCAGCAAAACCTAACCCAGACTTATTTTATTTTAATATTTCAAAACTGTATCTGCAGACCAAGGAAAGAAAGCAAGATAGAATTGATCAATAACACTGTGTCCTGGGCTCAGCAGTAGCAGTTATTTTTTTCTCCTTAGTAGCTGGTGCAGTGCTGTGGTTTTGACTTTCAGCCTGGGAACAGCACTGATAACACCGATGTTTTTAGTTACTGCTCAGTAATGTTTAGTCTGACCAAGGACTTTCTGAGTCTCATGCTCTGCCAGGGAAGAGGGGAAGCTGGGAGGAAGCAGAGACAGGACACCTGACCCAAACTGACCAAAGAAGTATTCCATACCACAGCATGTCATGGTCAGGGTGTAGCACTGGGGGCAGTTGCCCGGAAGGGCTAGACCACTGCTCGGTTGGGCTGGGTATCGGTTGGCAGTTGGTGAGCAGTTGTATTCTCTTTCCTTGTTGTTTCCCTTATCACTATTATTATTATCGGTGGTAGTAGCAGTGGTTTTGTGTTATACCTTAGTTACTGGACTGTTCTTATCTCAGTCTGTGGGAGTTACATTCTTTCGATTCTCCTCCCCATCCCTCCGGGAGTAGGGGTGGGGAAGGTGGGGCAGTGAGAGAGAGATTGGGTGGTTCTGTTTTATGGCTGGACTTAAACCACCACACACGGATATGTGGATAAGAAAAAAAAATAATTCAAACCAAACTAATAAATTTGAAACTGCTAGGGATTTCTAAAAATGTTTTTCTACCTATCCAATCCATGAAATCAAGTTAATTGCTTTCTTTACTTTATTGAGATAAACAAACTTTCTAGCAGGATTGTGTTGAAGGTGTGAATACATGTAAATATGCATATGCATGTTTGTGTGTGTGTATGCAAATAACTGCAATCATTCTGTACCAGCTATCTGAAAAAAAAAATAAAAATCACTGGCTTTTTACCAAGCTGGGGAAAATTCAAATTTAGGGATTTAATTGACTTTTAGATGCTGTAAACAGAGTATAGAGATTAAGCTATGAAACTGATTATTGCATATATTCTTAGCTGAAGATTTTACTACTGTATGTCTCAAAACAGAAACACAAATAAGTCTGGAGAAACGTTAGCCTTATCCAGTCATCTGTGTGGCACAGGTTTGCCTTATATATATGTATTTTAACTTTGTTTTGTTTTAAAAAGCTCAAAGTTTAACCATGTCTAATTGTTCTTACCGTCTTTGAGTCTTATTACATGTTATTCCCCCCCTCCCATATATATGTTTTCCCTCCTCTCATGTCTTTACTGGAAAATTGGACCATATACATAATGTAATTCTCCTTTAGACATCATAGAGTGGCTGTTCTTCACATTATGGTACCAAAGGGAGAGGTTCAAAAGTGGGAAATGAGAAGATTTCTTATTCTCTGTCATATGCTCTACCCTTTGTATAACAAAAGGGGCAGCCAAAATCTAGTGTTTATCCGGTCTGATTTGGTAATGCTCTGACAGTCTTTTAAAGTCATGTAGTTCATCAGTCTTTAACAAATGAATTATTTAAAATCTTTTACAGAAAAAGAAAAGAAAGCTTGGAAAAAAAGATGGAAAAGGAGCTAATCACATTCTTTTGAAATGATTGACTAAGTGAAAATACAGATGTGTTTAAAACTAGTCTTTGAAAGAGTGGTAATTATTTGATCCAGTTTCTTTATGTTTCAGAATCCTAAAGGCTCCAGAAAATGTACAGATCTGCAGTTATACAACTGTTAGCTTTGTTCTTGTGAACTGTGGAAAGCTTTTCTTACTTATATGCTTCTTGATTGTTCTATTCTGTTCATCTGTTCTTTTTTTTCTAGGATCACATAGACTCTCCTATTTGAGAAAGATTAAATACATATTTAACATTTCTGACAATGGGAAAAACTCGTATAAGTGACATATGGAAGGGAAGTTGTTACCACCAAACCCCAGACCAATTTTTCCTTACAGATCCTAGGACATCTGTGGGAACACATATTAGTGAGACTTCAGGCTTGCCTTGCCTTATTAGAAGCATGGGAAGAGCTTGCATGAGATTTCAGAATCTCACTGGCAGATTTCCAGACCTCATCTGCTGACTGTATATAGGTAGAAAAAAAACTGGAAATAAAAATAGATTTCTTCTGAAGTTTTATTGGCATTTAGTTTTGCCGAAACAAGTTAAGTGTAAACATGTCAGGGAAAAAAGATGATCGGAAACAGTGACTGAACTCAGAATGATTTAACATGGCAACCAGCCCAACTCTGTGTACCACTGAGTGATTTTAGCCTCTGTGAAATAAGGAAATGTTCAGAATTTCAAGAAATATTGGGTATGTAATCACTGCTTCCATGAACACCATCAGATAAATCTTTAGGAAGGTAAAGAAAGGAAGATGAACAGGGGTCAAAAAAGAAGAGACCTAATTCCAAAAAAGACTTCATAAAACTGAAATGCAGTCTGTCTTGCACTAAAAGCAATTCCGCCTTACCCTTTTCTGCTTTTCCCACCTTCTTACCCACTTTTCTACTTTTCCATATCTCTTTCCACTGCCCACTCTTTTTCAGGAGCATTTTGTTTTCTTCTCCTATATGGAGTAGTAGCCTTCTGTATGTTAAAACACAGCCTCAGATTTCCACCCATCTCTCCCTATTTGCTGTCACGCCTATGCTTTTTCCATTTTTTTACCCCCATCATGTAACACTGTTTGCATTAGAATTGCCTCTTAGTTGTGAATGTGTAAACAAAGACAAGTACACAATTGCAATATTTCCCCTGTAGTAGTAACCTTGCCATATTTACAACACCATGAAAAATATATGTGAGAGAGCAGGAATTATGCTGTCTAATATAGATAATGTTGCCTGGTTTACTACAAACTTGTAGATGGCATCAACAGAAATGGAGCCATTGCTATTTATCTGTGTCCTATGACGGTATTGAATAGATCTATGCCTGCTTTTAAAGCAGAGGCCAGTCCTCCTGCTAACACTGAATAATGTTTTCTAAAACTTAAGGAAGCATTGTGAAGTTTCAAGGATCTCTCTGTACCTGGATGTTCTCCTAATACTGATTAGAGTAGCCACAATGCTCCTGAAGAGCAGCCAGAATGGTGAAAAAACCAATACAGCGAAAAGCGTAGAGCCATTACTCATGCCTTTTTTATCATCCAGCCATCTTCCTATTAACAAAATATCTTTTAGGATCCTCAAAATTTAAGGTTGCACTGAGACCATAGGGCATCAGAGATATACACTTCTCTGTAACTTTTCTTTTCACTTCCCTATGATGACTGAGACAAAGATTATGCTAAATATTTTCTTCCACCAGTTCCTCTGCTAAAGTGGACCTCCTATGCAATGAAAGTTATTAAACCTTTGCTTTATACATTTTAACTAAGGTATAGTAATTGATATTGTTCTGGGTGTGTATTTTGCCTTTTGATTTTCAAAGTATTAGACCAAATTCTGCAGTCTGTTACACATATGCAAATATTGTTTTAATGGATGTGTAGCAATCTGAGAGAAGACTTACTTCATTCATGGCCCAATTTAACTGCCACTAAAATCAATGGAAAGGCTCTGACTGATGTCTACATGAATTGCATCAATCCCTTAATCATTTCAAATGGGATTTAATGGTGAAATGGTTCTCATTAGAAACAGTGTACTGCAAATATGAGCCTGCTGAGCTCATCAACAGTACTTTTAAAGCAATAATAAGAGCATAAAAGGAATAATTTACTTAGGTTTCTCAACGGGCTATTTGAGGAAAATATTCTTTTTGTTGCACTAAAGTTTCTCCACCAGAATAAACATATTCCTCTGTTCAGCCCAGTTACTGAACCCTACTAACCTTAATGATATTTCATAATTAGAAATTAGCCTCATGATCATCTTTATAAGAGGAAATTTTGGTACTAAATTGATTATGCTACAAGCCCAGAGAACTACGCTCTGCAGCATTTCATTTTTCAGTCATTCTACTGGTGCCCACAACAGACATATCATGAAAGCTATCTTCAGGGTTTGTTGGTACAGAAAATGATTGCAGTGTACCAATTCCTAGAAGTCTCATTGCAAATGTTGATCTTATGCCAGTGGTTGAAATAGTCATTTGTACTCGGAAGCCCACAAAAATGCACAAATAGCAGATCCAAACCCAGAACTTAACAATACTCCAGTTTTCTCATTCTAATAGGTCACAACTTAAGCTTCAGTTGAAGATGCTAGTTCAAGCAAACCACAATATTCTGTAATATTGAGCATCTGATGACACAGGAGGGAGGAATGGTTACTTGTATCCAAACAGGCTGCACTAGTAAACAGGAAATTCTATGCTGTTGCCCGCAAACCCCTATATTTCTGTGAAAGTCATTAACATTTTTAGCTACGATTCCTGAAACATCCTTTGCAACTTTGTATTATGTCCATTTTCAGGTACCGTGACAAGCCCATCATTATCAATAGCTGTGACACTAGTGTTGCAAACCTACTGAGTACAGGGGGCAATCTCCCACACCTTTCTTCTTTCTACTTAAAATAATGTGTCACTGTAGTGCTACAGAATATGTTTGCATTCTTCAGTGACTATTTGCACATAATAGCACTGTACTGATAATGTAGATAATCAGGGTTTTTTCACCACATAATTCGTGGGTTATGGGCATGCCTTTATCCTTATTATTAAGACTGAAAACATACCAAACTGAGCTGGTAGCATGCGTCTCTGTATTTAAGCCTTAGTTAGTAAAAGGGTCCTTAACAAAGCCCTCCTCTCTGAACCCTCCCACTGCATTCACTTGCAAATCACTGTATAGCTGTCAAAGCCGTAGTCCTGCCCCCCCCGCCAGCCCCAAACCTTCTCATGTTGAGCACTGCGGCTCCATCGGCAGCAACATTTCTCTCTGTAAGGGACGTTTCTGATTAAGCAGGGGCACTGAATAGAAACCAATCAGATAGAGAGTCCCTTTGGCTTCAGCTCCGTGCCTGCCTGACTTAAAAGTGATGCTTGGAGAGAAGGAGCTGTAGTTAGATGCAAGTGCATATAGTGCTGGAAATACAGTAACAGGCAGAAGGAAGGAAGCAGGTAAAGAAGCAGCATTGAATGGACAGAGCTAGGCTCATGCTGACAGACACGGTGAGTAGATTAACTTTCTTTGGCACTGAAATTGCTCACAGCAGAAGAGCAGATGCTTTCTTAAAAAGTGTCTAAAATGTTAAAGGTGCCTTACAGATACTTTTTAGGGAGTAAGGGTGGGTGGCAGGGTGAGCAGAACACGTTGGGGAGATTTCAGTTCAGAAAGAAAATAATTGCACTAAATGGCTGAAATATAAACTTCTGTTGCTGTATATAAGACAGTCCCTTGTTGTCTTATATACATCTAGAAAGCTAACAATGTGTATGCTATTCGACAATGCCATTAGACATTATTCAGGTTTTACTGCAATGTAGTCTTAACCATATAGCCTAACTTCTGTGAAGGATGCTTTCTTACATGTCCAGACAGAAGCTATCTTTGTTTTCTTTCTTTCATATTTGTTTGTATCAAAAATATCTAATCAATACAAACCCAATTAAAAAGGGTGAAAAGGAGGAAGTCTTTACTACTAATAAGAATAAAGTACTGGTGCTTTGTTTAGTTTTTCTTTAGTGGAAGTAGAAAAATTGATATATTTTTAATACGTGTTAGAGGGGGAAGTGGCAGCTCAGGGTTCAGAAGGATTAAGAGCTGAGGGAGATGTCTCTTTGGATATTCATAGTAGTAAGTCAAAGTCAACAGGCTTTAATGTATAAGGCTGTATTCCAGAAGTGCTATCAAATAACCAACCTTATAATCAACCTAATATGTATAATCACAGACTAGCACAGAAAGGCAGAAAGCGTAAAAGGTAGAACTGACTACTTGATTGTGAAGTAAAGAGCAGAAACTAATTGCCCAGTGAATGACATCTTGCTTTTTCTTTTCACATGCAAGAAGCGTGTGGTCACATCCATGTAAATTCACTGTATGAGCTTCAAAGAAAGAATGATGCTTATGAACTACAAATAAATTGATGTCCCTTGCAGTTGTGTGGCAATGTGCATACAGTAGCCACTCACGTTCTCGCAGATCTAAGTAGTAGGTCAGAAAAATAGAATGTTATTTTCTTATGATAATTTTAATTTTCTGTAAACAAATATACAAGCGTATCAGTCTTGCTCTGATTAAAGGCAGTGACAAACTCATGTATCACTTAAATCACACCAGGTTTGTGCTTCACTACTGATTACTATAAGTTTGTCATGCTAAGGTCAAATACGGATAAAAAGGCAAGTATTTGTGTTTTCAAAAGCTTTGTTTAATAAAAAAAATTAGTAGTAATGATAGGAATTGCCAATATCTTTAAAAATCATTGGTTGCAATGCTATTTTTCACATCTAAAATGTTAATTTCTGTTAAAAACACAAGAGAATGGACTAATTAAATATTTAGAATGTTTCTGTTGTTTTTTTCCCATGATTATTAAGAACTACATAGAAGAACTTTTTAACTTTAAAAAGGGCATGCTGTTATTTAAATGTCACTTTGACAGGAATTACATTGTCTTGTCATTTTTCCTTCATGATATAATAGTATAACTTCAAGACAGAATTAAATCTGTTTAGAGTTACTGTGATATTCCAATAGGAAAAATATAAAACTTTACAAGGTCACATTATACAATCAATCAAATGCCTATGAAAGAAAGAATTCTTGGTTTCTTTCTTTTAAGATAAACAAAATTAATTTTAAATGTAGAAATGTAACTGTATCAGTGCTACATACTAAACGTATACCTAAAACAGTTGTAAAGTCTTCTTAAACTTGATGGGGTGATTTCAACAATCAAAGATTTTCATATGTTTACTTGTGTGAACAAAATAGAGTATTTAATTTTAGAGGCTATCTTACAGCCATTGTTATGAAAAACTATGTTGTGTAAGTAACCAGTATGTCTCACCTAAGCACAAAAAGCAGACTGGAGATGCATTTGGAGACAAAATGTGGAGAGGACCATCTTTGCCAAATCCATGGTAAAATTTTCAGGCTTTCAGCATTTTCACACTTGTCTGCAGAAGTGACCACTGCAAAAAAGGCTGTGCTCCCCTCCAGACAGCAGACCGTTCGCAAAGATTTGTTTTCTCCTTTCATCTGGCTGCTGCTCCACAAAGTTCACCATTCTCTCATCATTGGATAAGCCAATGAGTATGATTTAACTGCGTGACTAATCTACGAAATAGAATGTAAAAACCTAAGTCCATTAGTTTAAATGTTATCAACAATAATGCTGCAGAAAGAACTGTATAAATTAATTCTGAAATTTGCTTCTGCCCTGTCATTAGAACATAGTTTCTGAAGATGCACAACAAAGGTTGCAAGGAATCTACTAGCAGAAGCTTTGAGAAGTAGAGATAGAATGTAACAGGACTGACAGTTTCCTCTGAGGATGAATTTGTTCAGGAGATAAAACAAGGTAGACTGGTGTCTCCTGCTGGATGTCCAAACCTGATGATAACGGGACACATGGGGTAACAAATGATACTTCAGAAATTTAATTTTTTTATGTAGTAGTACACACACAGAATATTGCATGTATTTTCAGACATTCTCATTTTCTTCATCCTCCCCCTTCTTTTCCCAATTTAAAAAGCTGTTCTGGAAATCAGCAAGACCTTACTGAAAATTAAAACTCAGTAATGCCCACTGTTTAAAAATTCTCCCAATTCCTGCACAAATCTTGTACCAACAAGAAAGTTGGGCTGTATAGACCTGGATGCAAGGCAATATAGATACATATAATTATATATGTTTCTTTCATGCAGTCGCTGCTATTTAACTGCAGAAGGCGACTGGAGCAAAAACCTTGAAAAAAATGCATCCCCCACTCATATCAGAATGCCTTCTGAATTTCTAAGGCTTGCAGCAGGTGTTACATGCAAATGCTATCTGCAGAAGCACTGATATTTGAACATGAATAGGGATATCTGAGTGAGAGCTAACTGCATTCTGCATGTGAGTGAGTTTATGAAACGTCATTTGTAGAAATAAATAAAAAATTTTGTTAAAAGGGGGTGGGAGGAGAAGAAAAATAAAGCAGAGGGAAACGAACAAAAAGAATCTTTGTAAAATCAGTCAAGCGTAATTTTAATAACTTTCTCCTTTTGCCTTTTAAATAAACAGGAAATTGCTGAATGGCAAAAGGCAAGTTACTGTCCTGACTTTCAGCGACTGATCATGATAAAAAACACCCCAGTGGCTGAGGCCTACTTGCCAAGCATGACTGAACAGAAGAGACATATCATGATCAGATCATACCATGTGTTTGTGGTGCAAAATCCTAGTGAAACTGGGCTTTTGGTTACTTCAAGGAAAATGTTGTTGATGACTTCAGGAAAAAAGGAAGAATATTGGATGTATACTACAGCTTACAGAAAAACTCTATGTTTTAGAAATAAATATTTTTTTAATGCATAATATGTAACGTAATTATCGGAAAGATAGGAAGTGAAGTATGTTATTTATAATCATCATTCTGCAATGTCTGAAAGGTTACAAAAGGAGATGGGTGGCATAGTCTCCATCCCAAAAACAGAAATTATTGCAGAGTTGAACTGACTTGGTCTCAGCCATGGAGTAGCTCAGTGTTAGAGCCAGGGGTAGACCAGGTCTTCCACTCTTCCAGTCCTCTAATTTCTTCATCTGAATGCATCAATGTTCATAAAAATAAATGTGCACAAAACACCCATGAGTGTTTCTCTGGAAATATATTTCTGCAACTGCAAAATAGGATGTCTCAAGTGACGGGCAGTATTCTTTTTGCCAGTTAACTGTAAATTTCTATGTTTAAATTTTACACATTTTAGTAGTAAGAGTAATAGTAGCATCAAGACAGCATCACATTAGATTCAGTTTTCCCTGTCTCATACAATGCAGCTTTCATATTAGAATCTCCTGATATGAAAGTGTTAATGTCAGAGAGGTTTATGTATGTACAAATATTCTAGGTGCTAAATGGTGTTCAGGTTCCTTCATCCTCACAAACCCTATTCAAGGGCAATAACCACCAGCTTCTTGGATCTTCTGCCTGGAAGAATACTGCAGTGTAGGGCCATCAATGCCATTGCTTAGAGACTTGAGTTTCCAGAAAACACTGAAAACATTTCCTTATTGTACGTAAGTATGCTGAGAAAGAGCTCCTAAATTACTTGCCGAAATTCAAAATATGCTCTTTACAAATGATATCCAAGAAAAGATTCTGTGAAATAGAGAAAATTATAGTTAATGCTTTTATGTTTGAGGATGGAAACGGAAGGCCTTTCTGTCACTGGAGACAAGCTACACAACTGTCTTAAGGAGATTATCTCAATTTGTATATTTTAAGAGTTCAATTTAAGGCAATTAATAATGTATGCAAGCCTATCTAGCAATATGTACAGACATCAGTAGATTTAGCCATTACTTTCAGAAAATGATGATCAATTACATTGATAATCAGTGGTGCAGAATTCAACTTTTATATTTTGGTACCTCCTAAAAAATAATTAAATAAAATATAAAGTTGTATAAGAGTGTTCAGTAAAGGAAATTTAAAAAGTATAATGATCTAGCACACTCAGTTCAAGATCTTACCTTGAGCTTACTCACGACCTCAAATAGTTGTTCTTTATTTCCTCTATATTCTATTGTTCAATATTTACTCCTGAGGAAATGATAAAGAGGTAAAGTGAAAAAGGTGTGAGTAGAGGGTAGGGCTGAAGTTAATCCCTTTACTTCTGTTTTGAAGGAAAAAGTAGGTAAAGTAGAAATGAAAATTAACATTTAAAAATCCAGCCGTTATAGGTTACACATAATTAGAAGGTATCCGGAAACTACGCACATCTGAATTTAATAATTCAAAATAGCCCCAGTTCCTGAGCAAAATTATTCATATGTATACATGCACATATATCCATGCATACATATATATACACATATCTATAGACATAAACTTAAGCATAAATCATGCAAATTATAAGAAGAATGATAAAATTGTTTAAAAAGGAATAGAATAAAATAGGTTTGCTTAAGTTTGCAGTGCTACTTTTTAGCTGAATTTATTTGCCTGCTTACTTTGTTG